CTCTCTCTCTCTCTCTTTTTCTCTCTCTCTCTCTCTCTGTCTCTCTCTCTCTCTTTTCTCTCTCTCTCTCTCTCTCTCTCTCTTTTCTCTCTCTCTCTCTCTCTCTCTTCTCTCTGTCTCTCTCTCTCACCATCAGCTGTGATTACTTTGGTAAAACAGCGCTGCGTCGCAGAGAACCAATTTTGCTAATGCACAGCCTTCACGCACACACACAGCATGGTTATTGATGAGGTAAATGGGGAGGGGGGCAACAAGGGGGCACACACGCTGCTGGGAAATGTGGAGAGAGAGAGAGGGAGAGAGGAAGAGAGAAGGACGAGCTGGACGGGGGACAAAGAGAGGGACATCGGGAGAGACATAGGGAGGAAGAAGGGGAGTGAAGGAGAAGAGGGGACGGGAATGGTCGAGATGTGGGGCATTAAGATATGTAGACCGGCGGTGGAGAAGGGCGTCCAGTTAAAGAGCCAATAAAGCAGAGGACAGAGAAGGAGACAAGGAAGGAGGGATGATGCAGAACTGTCTTTTTTTCTTCTTCTGGACGATGGAGAAGTTTGACCCAAGACAGAAACAAGACGAGACGAGTTGAAGAGAAATCGTCCTTTAGGATACTTTTGGCTCCTGCAGGAAAAAAGCATCAAAAAGAGGAAAGAGACATGTGGAATAATGCTGATGCTGAGCCTCACACAATGAGACAGTCATCATGAAGTACTCCAAAGATAGGAAGCAAAGGCAGACATCTCACTCTTGGTTGGCGCTCATGCAGACTGGACGCAGATGTCCATCTTCCTGATGAAGAATCAAACGGACAAATGAAGGCGGGATGTCTGGAGCTCTGCATGTCTGCACCTGAATGATGTTTCAAAGACCTTTTTCTGTAAGAGGAACTTTGCACATCGTACCTGAAGAATGAGGCATTTGGATGATTTTAAAGTTGGGATCATTTTGCGCTCTCTGTCTGGAATAATTCAGGAACACATCGGGACAACCCTCAGGAAAGATGGCTCTGGTGTTGGAGACCCAGGAAACACAAAATGCAGGGTCGAATATTCAGGAGGTTTTTTCTGAGAAGACTTGCCACATCGTACGACTTTTCTCTCTTTGATACGTCAATGGAAACCACGGAGAAACTTCCTGCAATGTCCTAAAAATATCAACCAGAAGCTTCTCTCTCTGCAGAGATTCTCCTTTCTTTTTCAAAAGAATTTACCCAAACCAGGAAGCTTTACCCACAAGGAAGCACGTCTGAAGGTGCAACTCTGTTCAGAACACATTTAACTCTCGATATGAGGCTCAAACTATCTCTAATGGACCCCAAAGTGCAATAAAAACTCTGTGTCCATCACTGTGAGGTCAACAGGAAACCATTTGGGTAATGCAATCTAAACTGTCTCCTTAAAGGTTCACGTCCTCAGGCCAACTTGAGGTTAGCATAAAGTGTTTTCTGAAGTTTAACATCCAGTTGTTACTCTTCTTTTGAGGCAGGAAAAAAGTCTCCAACTGGAACATCTCAGCAGTGTGTGGAGCTGAATTTCCATCCACAATCACCCAAGAATAAAACATATGAACGCTCTCAGACTCTCTCCTTCCTGTCTTTAAGGGTTTTTAAACCGTTGGAATCCACATTTAAATAAGCCAAATTGTTCAACTAGAATTTCTCATCAATGCCTTACATCGCCAAGAATCTCTTTTACGGTCTTTGAGGACAATATTCAGCAGAAGCTAAACAATCGTCCAAGGAACTTTTGCTTAATCGATCCACCTCAAGATCTTTATATCCACTAAAGAAGGATTCATGTCTGCCAAATAGTTCTCTTCTTGGAGGCCCTGAGGCAAGTCTTTATGGAGCAAGATGGACAAAGAGAAGCGTTTTCAACACCTTGAGTTAGTCTAAAGTAGCCTAAAGTGAGATTCTGGGACTGAAGCATGATGGGAAATGTAGTCAGGAATTTTGGGCAACAGTTTTGTTTCTCCTCCTAGACTTTTTAAAGTGCGCAAAAAAAAGGTTCACACGTTTATTTTTTGAACATCTACGACTGTTACGGTAGCAACTCGAGCAGGAGCGCTGCAGCATGGGACTCAGCTGCTTCAAGTCCTGGAAACATGACAGCACAGGGCACAAAGGTGAGGAAACACACACACACATATACACAACCCCCCCCACACACACACACACACATCAACATATTATCTTCTAATCCCCTCAGTGTGCCGTGTGGAGTTTGTATGTTTTACCCTTAAGTGACGTCTGATTAATGCTGACTCAGGCTTCTGTCTGAGGTGACATTGTGTGCATGTGTGTGCGCGCTTCTTGCATGCATGTGGGAGTCTATGTGTGTGTGTGTGTGTTTGAATATGACTTTGACCAGGACAGAGAGTGGAGCATGATGGGAAACAAGAACGAGTGTGTACACCATCTTGGGATGAAGACAGAGTTTAGTTTGTGTTTCAGGAACCTGTTTACACGACGGCTGAGAGCGCTAACCTTTGCAGCGTTTCGGCTCGTCGTTTACAGTAAATGGATTTTTGAGTGGCCTGAAAATGAAAAGTTTCCAGGGTGCAAACTCTTGAAACTGCATTGACTCTTTAATCAGTGCAGTCAGAAGTTTCACACATGTGCACCACAGTTCCAGTCAGTACGAGGTGGTGGACTAAATCAACAATTGCGGTCTGCAGAGTTCTAATTGTGCTGCTGACTCGGTTGAATTGAACATCGCAGATTTACTGCTGAACATTTGTTAAAGGCAAACCCGACAGACCTTTGGAAACTATTTTGTTGCATGAGCAGGAGGATTTACCTGCTCGTTCTCCTGAACAGACTTGATAAGCGCCTTCATCAATTTCATGTTATCATCAGATTATTTTCGGCTCATTGTCAGACTGTAAAGACCTCAGACCTAAAGAGAAAAATGCAAACTATATTAAAACGTGATGAGCAGAGCCGACATCAGTCCCAAAGTCGCCTCTCCTTTCAGAAATGTAAAAAGTGTAAAGACTTGTGTAAATCAGTGAACTTCGTGTACTGAAAGATACAATAGAAAACTCAAAGTACTTGGTCTTTTTCAATTCAAATCCATTCTTACCCCTTTACCTTTTCTGAAGATTATTTACTTTTTAATATAGATGGAAATGGAAATAACAGGAGCAATATGTACGAGTCTTTGTTTACTTCCAGGATATGTCCTGCAGGAAATTCCGACCAATCAGAGAGCGTTTTCCCCACGCATCACACATCTTATTAGACGTTTGGTATTTTGTCCCTTTAGACGCACCGTAGCTGACAGCGGAGTCTCCCTGTAGTCACAGTGATGGAAAGGAACGACTCCTCTTCTCCTTTGAATGTCTCATTACACAAAAAAAACTTCTAGACAGCTTGGCTGATGAGTCGAAAGTTATTTATCTACTGCATCACTTTTTTTAGCTTCTTGTTAAGTTTTCCATCCGTAGTAAGTCATCTTTCCTGAGGTGAAGTTGGTGTCATAACCTACCACATGCTCCTAACTTTCTTTCAAAATAAAAAAAAAGGTTTGAACCCAAACAGGAAGTAAAGGACCCTTAACTTAAGACGGCACAAAATCCTTTATAAAAGCAGTATCACATAATTTTGATTAATCACAATTAACTTTTGAATTTCAGCGTTTAATCCTGATCTAAAAATGTAATAGTTTGACAGCCCGACTCAGAAGCATTGTCATATCTTCAAACTGTCACAGCATGGTGCCGATGGCCTGGTGGTTTGTGGGCTCCTATGGTACTAAAGGGGGGAAGTCCAGGTTCCGATCCGACCTCAGGCTCCTTTCCTGCATGTCATTCCCGCTCTCTCTGTCCCTGACTTCACTGTCCTCTCTCTACAATAAAAGCACTTAAAAAGCCCCCAAATAAAAATCTTTAAACTGTCACAGCGGCTAAAAGCTGCCTGATGCTGAGAAGTCGCTCTTGTTCATATCCCATAAAAACCTTCCAGAGGTCATTTCATCATCGAGTGTTTCACATTGTGGCTGCAGGAAATGACACGGTAGGAACTCACCGGTCTGAAAGATGCATTATTTGTAGTCCAACAGACGACTGTAGTTTTTAACCAGCAAACCACGTCTGTGTCACTGCAGTTTTTCTGTCCTCTTATTCACTCCTCTCCTTGACCCTTGACCTTTGACCTTGGCTATTCAGACCCACAATCCTTTGTGCATGTTCACACCCACTGAGCCCGTAGACACAGACGTGTACTGAGCAGGAAAAAGAGCACTGGTGTTGGATTATAGATTGTAACAGATGTGTGAACAATGAGATCAGACTTTAGGCCCAAATGTTCAGATGAGTTAAATGTTGTTATAGTGTGCATACTGCATGCAAAGTGCGTACTTTGTGAGATCAAGTATGTACTAGTTTAAGGTAAAAATGAGTGATTAGGAATGACGGGAGTGCATAAGAATAATTCTTATGCTATTCCTTGAGGCAGCATTGTGTCATGTCTGTCATGTTTGTGTGTATGCAGGTAACAGAGACGTGTTGGCCAGCCCAGGCTCGTACTTCTTCCTGTCCAACAGCGCCGGTCAGGGTGACGAGTGGCTCAAGAGCCTCAACAAAGGAGTCTGGATCCCTTTCACAGGTGGACATCATTCATTTTGTACTGTATATACCCCCTGTTTTTATTTTTATATTAAATTTTAATTTTATATTTAATTTTAATTTTAATTTTAATTTTAATTTTAATTTTTTTATCTTATCTATTCTGTTTAATGTGTATTTTTGAGCTTTCTTGTCTGTGCTGCTGTAACGCCAGAATTTCCCCTCTGGGGATCAATAAAGTATTATCCTATCCTATCCTAGAAGCTTTCTCCTCAAAGTGTGATTGTTTGATATCACAGACCCGACCTCACGTTTTATGAAACTTTATAATCCTTCAGGGGTCTTCGGTCAGCGTCTGGAGGAGACGGTGCTGTATGAGCGACGTTATGGGACACTTTTGGTTCCTCTGGTGGTGGAGCAGTGTGTGACCTTCATCAGGGATCGCGGCCTGCATGAAGTGGGTTTGTTCAGGCAGCCGGGGCAGGCCAGTCTGGTGAAAGAGCTGCAGGAGGCGTTTGATGCAGGGGAGAGACCATCCTTTGACAGGTACAAAAAACCCTCAGATTTCAGCCTAAGGTTTGAGGTACATCAGGGTCAGTGTGTTATTTTTTCCCCTGCAGTAACACAGATGTCCACACGGTGGCGTCGCTGCTGAAGCTGTACCTCAGACAGCTGCCTGAGCCGCTGGTTCCTTACAGGCGCTACCAGGACTTCCTGCTCTGTGGTCAGAAGATGTTGAACGACCGCACATGGGTAACTTAAACTATTTAGGCAAAGAACATGTTAAAGAGTAGCGTCAGACCCGCTGAGAGCCAGCAGGGGACACCACACATCTCTGCTGATCCTGCCACCTTTGTGTTTTTGCAAATTAAGGTTTATAACTGCTTCTAAATAAACAAGTTAATGCTCATAAAAAGATTGTCCAGTGAAGCCACTTGTCAAAAACTACCTGTAAATAGTGATGTAAACTCCCACATAATGCATTAAAGGTGACATATTCTCCTCCTCTTCTTCAGTTTAAATAAGTCTCAGAGCTCCTCAAAACATGTGTGTGAAGTTTCTTGTTCTAAATCCACTCTGATCCTGTATTTGATCATGTCTATAAACCCCTCTATTTCAGCCCTGCTCAGAACAGGCTGTTTCTGTGTCTGTACCTTTAAATATGTAAATGAGCTGTGTCTGACCACGCCCCCTCTCTGGAAGGGCTTGGGTGTCTCGGTCTTTCTCGCTCCATGTCCTATTGTTTAAGGTGAGAAGACAGACTCAGAGGGCAGAACAAACACCTAGCTGTGGGAGTGTCACCCACCTGGGGGAGGGGCTACTGCCCTTTGTGATGTCATGAAGGGAAAATCTCCAAACGGCCTGTTTGAGCAGACATTTTCTGAAAAGTGGAGCAGGCAGAAGACAGAGAGGATGGACTTTTCTCATCATTGAGGGGTTTGTAGACTAGAGACACATGTTAGAGTTAGAGGAACATGGGGAAGAGTATGACCTTTAAATAAAATGTTAACAACAGAAGTTTAGCTTCAGGATTTGACAAAACACAAATAGAATAATCTCTTCTTCTTTTTCTTATCTTGTGGTTTGCTTTCCTCCTCCTTTCCTTCTTTCATCTCCTTTCCTGCTTCCTATCTCAGGGTTTGGGAGAGTTGAGAAATCTTCTCCATGAGTTGCCAGTTGCAAACTTCAACCTTCTCAACTTCATCTGCCAGTAAGAACCATCTCAGTGCACAGTCTTCATTCAAAGAAGTATTGTTCTCTCAGGGCTCCAAACCTTTTTGACTACATGGACCAGACAGACAGATGAGGAGGCAAAAAAAGATTTAAGAATACCCCTAGATCAATCAATTTTTTTTAGCAATGTTTAAAAAGAAGAAAATGATCAAAAAACAAACATTAAATTACAGTCAGTGCAAACGTTAAAGGTGCGATTTAAATAGCTGTGAGGTTAGCATGTTAGAATATATGAAGTATTAAGAAATAATGCAACCAGAACTTCTGTAGAAAATACCCAAATATTAATAAGTCTTTTCTCACCCTCAGTGATCCGTGTGGTCGACGGTCACCTACAGGCAAAATCTGACAATTCAGGATCGACTATGTTAAAACTTCAGGCACTGACGCATCTAGATCTTTATAGCAGAGAATGTGTATTCTTTGGAGGTAATCGTCAAAAGGTGTGTAACATATTCATAACACTCTTGACTGTGTGTGTGGAAAGGTTTCTGAACGACGTCCAGAGTTACTCAAGCAGCAACAAGATGAGCAGCCAGAACTTGGCCACCGTGTTCGGGCCGAACATCCTCCGAGCCAAAGCTGAAGACCCACAAAGCATCATGGGAGGTATGCAGACAGACCGCCCCACAGAACTGCATAATCAGCATTTTCTATCAGCATATACACATTGTAAATGTAAGATGGCATCTTTGATGGTTTGTGATTCTCTCTTTCTGTGTTGAAGGTGCAGCACTGGTCCAGGTGCTCATGTTGGAGCTGATCAGAGAGCACGAATCCCTCTTTGCGAGAGCCCCCCAGTCCATCTCCGCCCGCCCTCCAGCAGGGTCTCGTGCGTCCCCGGGTGCTCTGAGACAGCCTCACCTCCACCCGACGTCCTGCCACCGCCAGCTGTCCCTGCCTCTCATCGCAGAGCGCTCCAGAGAGGCCGACAGACAGCAGGCCGCAGACACGCAGAACCTCAGGTGAAACAGCCTCATCATCGACACATATGACCCTAATAAAAGAAGAGGCAGCGAGAGCAGCATGCACACAGAAGGAGAGGGAGAATCATAATATTTACTTTGCAACTAAAAAACTAAATTCAGTGAAGGTCATTCAGCAGCGCCCTATCACCCTCTATTGACCAGCTGTCACTGGGCATATCCAAGATGGCGACTACATCATCATGCACGTAACTACATCGCTGCTGGTGCTCGGTTAGCTGTAATGTTAATGGACTCAAGAACCAGAGTCCCATACCTAGTCATACCTCTGCTTCTTCACATATATGCCAAACAAGAAAGTTTTCTTTTCCAAGTTTCATTCCATTTCTAACATCCACCCATCTTTAAACTCTTTATATGTGATGTTTTGATCCAGCAGATGTCGCCCTTGAGCTCCAGCATGAAACCAAAACAACTCGCGCTGCATTGTTGTGTTAGCATGCTAATGCTAGCGATCTTTATTATGCTGGTATCTTCACACTGCATGTAAATTTACCTGAAATGAGCGTGATCTAGAAACACAGTTAAGCAGTGAGTACAGTATGTTATTCTTCTTTTCTCTAGTCCCTCAATTAAACAACTTTTATACACGAGGGGAGGAGTCAGCCGGCCGTCCAGGCGATGTAAACAAAGTGAAGATAGGACTCTGAAAACTCTGAAAACATCACAGACAGTGGGACTCGGGTGTTACACCCATTGTAGACAGTCATGACTCACAGAGTTATTTTCAGAGGAGATACTTGATTTCTACATTTAAGTGTGAACAATCACATATAAAGACTTTAATATCTAGTATGATGTAACAACCTCAAACCTTTTATCACAAACTGTAATGGTGTGCTCTTTCTTATGTGTGGAAACATTTGGATGTACATCGACCTTGAAGAATGTATCAGAGGTCTAACCTTCCTCTTCTTGATTTCTGCAGCTGTGCCTACTCGACTGCTGTCAAATCAGACGTTCCCTTCAGCCAGAAGAGGCTTCTCGGCCATCGCTACACGTCCTCCCACCCCGAGAACTGCTTCTACCCCCCGCCTTCCTCTAGTCATCACTCAGACATAGACTACCACCAGGACCATGCCCACAAAGAACCACCCACTGCAAACAGTCAAACCTCTACAGCCAGCGTCCAGGTGCGAGACCCACAGCCCAAATCTCTGCTGGCCTGGCCGGGTCGAGGAGAGGCAGACGCTGGTTTCTCGGGCTCTTACGCTGTAGAGGATAGGGTTGCACTACCAGAAACAACCAGCGGGGGCAGCAGTGAGGCTCAGGATGACAGTAACCTCTCTGCCTATGACAACCTGGACGGCTCGTGTGAGCGCGAGGCAATGGCGGAGATCACCGGAGGACATTTTGAAACGGACAATCCAGAAACCTGTGGAGAGGAGGCGGAGCTTGAGGAGGAGGCGTGGCAGATGAAGGACTCCTGCTCTTCATGGTCATCCTGTGAGGTACTACCGTTGGATGAGAGCAGGGATGATGCAGACACGGTTAGTCTTGACATGTCGCCAAAGAGGCCAAAAAATGTACCTTCAGGTCAGCTGCGAGACGAGGAGAACGATCGAGAAGACGATCATGAAGACAAAAGCAGTGATGATGATGATGATGATGATGATGATGACGACGTCAGCCACCCTAACTCCCCAGCGTCTTGTTTGTTACTCAGTCCTCTGAGTACAGGAAGCTCAGAGGTGTTCCTTCCCGCCTGTCCTCCAGACGCCCCGGCGCCCGAGCCTCAGTCACCGCCCAGAGACGCTCAGAGCCTCCTGGCTGAGCTGCAGTGGCAGATGGCCCGACAGAAGGCCGAGTACCAGGCAAGGATACAGAGGTGAGACACCAGCTCAAGTGATGGTAACCTTCAGTCCTCAAATATATTACTAATCCACATCGAGTACTTCTACAATTCTACAATTCTCTTAGCAGACTCTTTTATCCAAAGCGACGTACATCAGAGAGTAAGAACAACACAAGCAAGGATCTAGAAAAAAGGGAACAATGTGAGTAAGAGCAAACGATCAGCTTTGAGTCTGATTGGACACACAGGTGCTGACAGGAAGTGACCAGAGGCAAAGCACAACATTGAGGGCAGTTCTTGAGAGCTCTAATCAGTATAGAAACCATCTTATAAGTCGTCGTTATCAAACAAAAACCATCGTCATTACCATCATCATCATCAATAATATGGAGACCATCATCATTAAGTTAGTAGGTATTCATGAAAGAGCTGGGTCTTTAGCTTTTTCTTAAAGGTGCAGAGGGACTCTGCAGATCACATGGAGTTTGGAAGTTCATTCCACCACCGGGGGGCGACAGAGGAGAAGAGTCTAGTCAGAGACTTAGGACCCTGTTGTGAAGGTTGGATCAGACGCCTTTCATTGGCAGAGCGTAGTGGGGCGGAGGGAGTGTAACTTCAGAGTTGAATACTTAAATGTGAATATGAAGTGTGTTGGGTTCATTTCATATGATGGAAGTTGAATTGTCACTAAATGCTACTCTTTGTGTAAATGTTTAAATCTCATTTCATTCTGGCACCGTCAAGCCCAAAGAAAAATGTAAACATGACACTCTGACCTTTGACTGTATATTGATGTGGACAGATCATCTCTCTCGTTTACCGTCAATAACTTTTTGTTTTTCAGTCAGGAATACTCTCCTCATAGGTTTAACCGTTTGAGGCATGAGAGTGGGTTAAACCAATTTTAAACAACTTCGGATATGTTGGATACAGGTTTGGCTCCACAAGTCCAACTTGTAGTTCTTTGTTGTGAAGGCCTGAGTATGAACTACAGTTTTGTTGTGTTTCCTGCAGGTTGGAGCGCTGTAACGACGTCCTGGAGCGGCAGGTCGCAGTCCTGCGGGTCAGTCTGGAGAAGCAGAGGCGCAGCCAAAGCGTCGCCGAGATAAAGATCCGCAACATGGAGCGAGCCAAAGCCGACGCCGACCTCCGGAACACCACCCTGCAGAGGGAGATGGAGCTCTTCTTCCAAATGTACGGAGAGTTTAAAAGAGGAGGATTTGAAGGAGGGAGAGGCGGAGGGAGTCTCTGAAGACGGATGATGGAAAAGTTCTTTAAAGGTCGGGAAGCGATCGGACGGATTGTTGCAGAGTTTGTTGAGAAGTTGATGTTTGTCCCGATCCTCTGTGAGACCATGAAGGTGTCAAACCTCGAAAGGAAAACAGTCAGGGCAAGAAATTACATAAAAATGAAGATACTGCACCTTCCAGAGGACAAGACAGATGTTTGCAATTTCCACCAGTAAGTCCTCGACTGACTGAGTGGATTAACTTCACAGCTTCAAGAAGAAGGAACAAAAGGATGCTCGCTAGCTTCTTCAATGTGCAGTGACGGACTAAACTTCAACAAGTGAGGCGGATGAATTGGTCGACTGGTTAAAGCCCCAGGCAATAATCCTGCTTTGATGAAAAATCAGTAACCACTGTGTCTTCCCATTAAACAAACTCAGGTCTCCTTTAAGAAGCCGACCCAGAGGAAAACTCAGAACTAAAAGCTCGTCCAGGCTGAGAGGAATACTGAGTGACAGATTTGGTGCATCAGTCCATGATAAGACGCCAGGCATACATGCTGGACTTGTTCTCTTTGAAACCAGGATATTTTGTTTTCATGAGTCCGCTACATCTCTTCCTCCACCCCTCAATGTGGTCAATAGCAAGGTCGAGATGTGGCCAAGAAAGTTCAAGATAGACGATGCATGGACGGGGAAAGTGTGGAGAACACTCCCATTGTTCCATTAAGATGTTTAAAAGATGATTGTGTGAAGATGTTCAACAGTGAAAGTTTTATCACTGACTGTTTTGAAGACGTTGATTAGACGCCAAAGTTTGAAGCAGATTTCAACAGGAAGTCTGCTTCTGTCAGAAGATTCTTCACACTCACACTTATTAAAAGGGATTTTAAAAGTTGCTTATCATAAATTCTGCAGCTAAAATGATTGTATTGAGAAATGCATCACAGTTACCAATTAAAAATCGAATGAAGGAAGCTGGAGTCCATCCCATGACTTCTAAAATGTGAGTCCAACGTTTCTTATTATCATCTGTCCCCAAGTCCTTTCAGACCTTCCCCTCCGTCAGGTGTTCAAGAGGACATATTCCCCCCCTCCTCCACCTTTTCAAACAGTCCCCTCCTCCACCTTTTCAAACAGTCCCCTCCTCCACCTTTTCAAACAGTCCTCCTCCTCTACCTTTTCAAACAGTCCCCTCCTCCACCTTTTCAAACAGTCCCCTCCTCCACCTTTTCAAACAGTCCTCCTCCTCCACATTTTCAAACAGTCCCCTCCTCCACCTTTTCAAACAGTCCTCCTCCACCTTTTCAAACAGTCCTCCTCCACCTTTTCAAACAGTCCCTCCTCCACCTTTTCAAACAGTCCCCTCCTCCACCTTTTCAAACAGTCCCCTCCTCCACCTTTTCAAACAGTCCTCCTCCACCTTTTCAAACAGTCCCCTCCTCCACCTTTTCAAACAGTCCTCCTCCTCCACCTTTTCAAACAGTCCTCCTCCACCTTTTCAAACAGTCCCCTCCACCTTTTCAAACAGTCCCCTCCTCCACCTTTTCAAACAGTCCCCTCCTCCACCTTTTCAAACAGTCCTCCTCCTCCACCTTTTCAAACAGTCCTCCTCCACCTTTTCAAACAGTCCTCCTCCACCTTTTCAAACAGTCCCCTGTGGTCTAAATGAAACATCTGTTCTGTGCTTTGGTCAAACTATAACATGAATCAAGCACCAGAGGAGGTTTGTGACCCTGTATAAATCAGCTCTCTCAGAACGCTCTGTTTTGGTGTTTTGGTGTTTTGGACCCAACGAGATATGACCTGAGTGACACCATAACAGAGAAAAGTAAAGAGGAATAACATTGTGTTGTTTGGCAGTCTGAAATGTAGGATTAAAGAGCTTCAGAAGAAATGCGCCTGCATGGAAAGCTCAACAGCATTGGTGTGGATAACCGAACTCCAGCTGAGTTTTTAATATTAAATTTAATTTGATATGTAACGTACATAATCTAGGCTATAATATAATAAAAAAAAATACTTTTAGTTAAAAAAAACCTGGTCAGACCAACGATCGCTACAATGTACAATGTTAACATGTATTTACTGAAAGCAGCCTCTCTAATCTTTAAAGTAAATCGATGAAACAAACAAAAATTCATCAAATAAAACACACAACTAAAGAAATCACCTGACAGCTCGCGCTGCTCCACATTATTTAAAAAGCGATGTAGCCTACAGAGATCGTTTGAGGTGGAGCGTTGTATAAAATACATTTGAGATATCTTATCTAACAGTAAATCTGTGAACCTCTATCTGTCCGTCTTAACAAGCACTGTTATAGTAGATCTAATTATTCTCCCACACAGACAGATTCGTTGCACCGCAAGTCCACACTGAGTTGAAAATGTGCGTACACGAACTGAGACCTGCTGTTGGATTTGAGCGTACCCTCCGCTCACGTCCAAATTGTGTCGAATACAAAGTGCCGAACTTTGCGTGGAAATGACCGTACACCCATTTCTCTGCCGTATGTATGTTTGATAAGTGAGGGCCAAGGAGAGCACATTTGAGACAGAGCATTTTTCTCTGTGTTGTAAGACTTCTGCAGACCACAAACAAAGGACTGGATGGTTTATTTCACATGTTGTGGGTCAGTAGACTCTCAGGTTACCCAGATATATGTTCAGAAACACTGAAGAAGAGGATTTTTCATAATATGTCTCCTTTAAGATAAGATAATCCTTTATTGGTCCTCAGAAAGGAAGTTCAAGTTTTGCACCAGTAAAGAGAAGAGATCAGAAGGGCTCTCTGCAGACGCTATTTAATCAGTGCATGAGTATTGGATCAGTAGCATTAGTGCTAACCTCCAGGCTAACATCTGCATCCTCGGCCTGGATCAGATCAGATTTTGGAGCTGACTGGAACACCTTGTTGTTCCTCGCTCAGTGCTCATACGGGACTGACACAAAGACATACTGGAAAAATGATTCAAGTGCAGGACACAGGTTTATATATTTGTGAGCTTGAAGCATGTGTCAGTGGGTCAGGTTGATCACTGACTGCTTTTTCTGCCATTATGAATCAATATTAAGGAAGATCTGTTGCTAATGGTTAAATGGCGCCCTCTAGTGGTGGTTTTTAATAGATACAGATGATACTGCATTTCAATCTCTCAATTTATATATAATCTCTCATTTGGGAGTCGCTGGGGGATGGAGCTGATCAGCTGTCATTGGGCGAGAGGCAGAGTTAAACCTTGGACTGTGCACCAGCCAATCACAGGGCTGACATATAGAGACAGACAACCAGACACACTCACATTCACACCATTTGAATCTCTGACGATGCAAATTCTAAATCCGTTATAAAAACAAACTTTTTTTTCTCATCAAACATAAGAAAGCACCGAGTCATGTTCATGTGATGAGAATGTAATATTTATTCTCAAACTATGTTAGGCAAAAAAAACAAAAACAAACAAGAAACTGTACAAACAAAACATCTTTTAACATGACCTGGAAAACACAGAACAGATAAAAAAACAAAGATATTCAGTGACACTACTGTACAGAGGACAGATCGTCCGTCCAGGAGAGATTTAAAGGGAACGAAGTCACACTTTAAACACAAACTAGAAAAACAAACATTGTTCACTTGAAACAGAAACAGTCAGGTTCATTTGAATATTTAAGACTCACAGCAGAGTTTGTTTTTGTTCTTCTGTGTTGACACGAGTATTACAGAGACGTGACCACGACCACGACCACGACCACGGCCACGACCACGACCAGAGTTACGGTTGGTGAATGAGTTGGATTTGAAAACGGCGTGGGAATCGATGCAGAAAAACTGAAGTGTTGAAGCCTTACCAAAAACTATGGAAGCCCTGGAAGGACACACATCCATAGGTTTTATTTTGACTCCATTTTCCTGCGATGACGAGTTCGCTTCGGTTGATCTCTCGAGGTTTAGATTTATTCATCCAACGCTGCTTTTCAAATAGTTACAAGTTCATTTCTGGAGAAAACCAGCGGCATAAATAATTTAAGATCTCGAGAAAACAACAAAGAAAACTCGTCATCACAGGAAATCGGAGCAAAATAAAAAAGTATAGATGTGTGTCTTCTTTAGGCGCCCGTAGAAAAACAAACAACGACCAGCGATATGCTACATTTCATCACGCCGTACGATGCACGCTTCATCTTGCAGAAACTCGATAAATTTAAAGAACTGATTCCAACATGATGCATGTTCTTCATCAATCATTTTAAAGGCAGTAACCTTTTTTCACTTGAATGCACGTTTTCATTTCAGAGTCAAAATCAGATTGTTGATGATTGTGCAGGATGAAGCGAGCGTGCACACCAGCTGTGTCTTCACTCCTCGACCACATGACACCAGATTCCTGAACCTGATTAGATTCTAGTACGAATCACATGAAATAAATCTCTGTTTTGATACCACAGCAACAAAAACAGAAGTCCTAAGCATCCAGTATCGGGTGACTTGTTTGTTTTAATCACCAAAAGAAAATACGTTGGATGCTGAGATGTTACCAGAGCATTTGTGCATTTTAAGACAATGCTCTGCCACATTTGCTTTCAGTGGTCTTGGGTAAAATATGTGACTGAAGAGCCTTATTGTATCATTTTGAATCATGTGGTATACTTCTCACACAGCTGCTGTTGAGCCAAACTGAAGAACAGGATCCTTCATCAGAGCTCACACACTGAAGAACTCAAAAGAGGCTTTAAGCCCTCTGCTGAGTCCACTAATCTGAAAACCTTCAAACTCTCCAGAGTCAGTGTGAGTGCAGTTAACATGCATGTCAGTTTGGTTTTTTTCCACACACTTGAGCGGGGGTCTCGTTTCTTCTGATCCCAAAAGAACCAAAACTGTTTTTTACCAAAAGTAAAAAAAACAAAAAACACACATCTCTATTTATACATTAAAACATTAATTGGAACATTTCAGAGAGCGGGAGCTCGAGTGAAACCATTTCCTGAGACAATTTTTAACCTTTTCTTTTTTGTTCTGTTAGCTTGTTATTAACTAACCGAGTTTCAGATTGTTTCCATCCTGCTCAGTGAAATGTCCAATGAAAGGAGACGAGCCAAAAGTAAATGTAGAGCTCGTATGGGTGGAGGGGAGAGGGTATAAAGTGCATCTACAGGGGGGTCATTTCAAAACCAGGATCAGCATCATGCTCCCCTTAAAGTGGGCGAGAGAGACAGAGAGAGAGAGAGAGAGAGAGAGACACTCTAAATGCTTAAAAGCAGCTACAGCAGACGGTGACGGCTTAATTCTTCTAATCCTGGAATGATTGGAGGGTGAAGATCGAGGGTTTCGGTGTTGAGTGTCGGAGCTGCTTTCAAAGGTCCCATGAAATATCTGACACAAGAAGACGGCAGAATGGCGTGCCCGGTGAACAGCTGCTTTCCTGTTTAAACCTTAACTTTGAGTGTAGCTAGGTCTTATAAGTGCAATGAGGGGTCATCGGTGCAGCACCTTGGACGAGGTGATGCAGGGATTTAGATTTTTTTTTTTTTTCAAATTGAAGTTTAGTTTTCTCTCCTTAAAATAAATGAGTCCGTCCTGTGAGTTTCTTCAACATGGCCGTCTTCTGCCGTCTTCTTGGCCACATGTTTTGTTATTCCCAGATGTTGGGATTAGCTTGTTCGTGTCTGTGTCAACAAGCAGCCTTCATCAGACCTGTGCAGTCTCAAAGTTAGATTCATACTGAAGAGGAACCTTGAAGTGAAATGTGATCCGGGATGCTAGATGCTAACCGGTGAGGGATGCTAACATGAAGACGGCTCGTGTAACAGTTTGTGAGTTTTCATCTCATGGGACCTTTGGGGGGTCTGCTCCACAGGGTGCAATGTGTCCTCCTAGAAGCCAGAGGGCGTCAGGATGTTCATGTCTCTGGGTTTGAGCTTGTGCGGCCGCGATCCCTGCCGTCGGCTCTCCACTGAGGGAATCTCCATTTGGGGGGGGGCCACCGCCTGCGCCGCGGGTGCGTCACCCAGCCGTGTGTTCTGCGCCTTCATTACCTCCATGGGGGTCGGCTTCTGGGCACCTCTGTACCCCTGCACTGCAAAGCCTGCTGGGAAAAGAATGAAGAAGAAATTGCGTTAAAATTACTCATTTAATTGTAACCAAGTGGCAGAAGTGCAAAAAAACTGCAGTTCCTCGAGTGACCACTAGAGGCAGGCTGCAAAAACCAAAGATCCTGTTAGAGCTCATTAAAATGTAAATTTTTAAAACTGGAATAAACATGTTGGTTCACACTGCACAGAGGGAGAATGTATTCTATAACTAATCGGTCTGATTTTAAGAGTTATTCATGAATTTGCATAATTAGGGGCGTGGCCATTGACTGACAGTTGGACGCGTTGAAGCCGATTGCCGGGAGCCTTAAGGCCCGCCTCTGTGCCTGTCACTAGACTGATCCAGAGTTAGATGGAGACAGTATTCATAGGTTGCTTCAGAACGCCTCTTCAGGACTTTCATCGAGCGGTGAAGTTTATTCGCCGGGATGTCGTCCTCGCTCGATGCGTACTTCTCGACGGTTTCATCTCTCAAACGGTTTAATGATTGACAGTTCCGGTTTGAAATGTTGATCTAGCTCGGTGACTCAGCAAACACTGCGGGACGTTAGGACATTCTTTTATCTCAGAGACAGATCGTTCTGTGCAGTTTGATCATCATAAAGACAAAGATTTGATTTACTGCGTTCAGATTACAGAAGGAAAATGGTTTTATATTTAAAGGTACAGGATTTATTTGATCTTCACTGTGATTGGATCATTAGAGGTCATTATGAATCTTTCTTTATGTCCATGAGAGAACAAACAAGCAGACCATCAACTAGTGTTGTAGTCCAGACCACACGAACAGAGACCAGAGTGCCCCGAGACCAAGACCAAGACCAAATAAAATATTTCTGCTGATTGAGTCAAAAAAACTGAAATATTATTAAGAATGAATTCACATTTTATAAACACTCACAATCGAATGCACAATATCATTTTTGATGCAGATGTGCAATATCAATGATGCTAACATTTAACATGTACAAATACAGATTTGTGCATCATATTCAATGTGCAAAATGATCCAAACGTCCTTTAACGCTGTAAACTGCACTAAGGGCACCTGATTTATTCTTCTTCTTTTTGAAATAAACCTAAAAATGAACTTTTCTAGAAGAGCATGTGTGCTGCTGAAAAACAAAACAATGTGCAATAAAAGCTTTTATTTTGTAGACTAATTAAAAACACATTATGCTGCTGCAGCCTCTTTGATCAATCTCAGCTGTGGCTCAGTCGGATGAGTCTCAGGAAGCTCGGGGGTTCGATCCCCGGCTCCTGCAGCCTCATGTCCAATCTGTCCTTCGGCAAGACACTTGACCCTGAATTGCTCCCACTGCTTTTTCAGTGGTGTATGAATGTGTCTGAATGGTAACTGAACATATCAGCCTCTGCCATCAGTGTGTTCATGCGCTAAAACAAGCTCAAGTCCATCTATGTTGTTAATAATATTCAGCGTATGAAACTTAAAAAGTCTTACATTAGTTTTCACCTACCGATCGTCATCAGTGAGAAAAGATTCGGTTCTGATTCATAACAGACTGAAGAGTCCCACATGTTGAAATCCAGATGCTGTTTTCTCTGCAGATGTCAAATCCGTTTAAAAGTGTTCGTCCACTCCTTGGACTTTTATATGACGGGGTGCAGAGAAAAAGAACACCAGCTTCACCAATAACAAATAAGTGGCCAATCAGTAACCGATGTGTGACGGCCGTCAGCGCCTGTGTGGTCGCTGTTCAGTCTGAAGGTCGTTTGTTTCGCCTAGTAACCCAAATCTGAGACATGACAGGTTATATAACGGGCGCTCAGTTAGTGAGCACAGACCTTACATCAGAGTTCACCTGAACTCACTTCAGATTTTTGTTTTTTTTTGCTTTGCTGCTCCTTCAGAATAAAAGACGACAAGAGGGGAACTCATATGACCAGAATCAACGAGTAAATGAATAATATCAGATGTGAAGTCTTCACTGTCGACGTGTTTTTATTTTGTTGTTGCTTTTTCTTGCTTAGCTAATAAACTTTATTCTTAAGCTTTATTTTGAATGTGTAGGGAAACTGAGACATTACAGAGAGAATGATTTCATCTGTTTGTTTGTTAAAAATAAAGAAATGAATTGACTGAAACATGAACAAACTTTCACAGCGCTGTCGGTCACCACTCGTATTACAGGTCGTCTACTAATGGAGAATAATGTCTGATAAAAAGGTGAAGATGGCGCTGGCATTGTCAGTTCTTGGTCTTTTAGAGGAAAAAGAAAAGAAGAGGAGGAGGAGACAAATAAGGAGAAACCTCACTAATGGGTGAAAGCATGGAGACTACAGAGACATGCTCAGGAGGCTTTACTGAACCTGAGAGGAGAGCTGGAGAGAAATGAAACCTCCCAACAGCCAATCAGAGAGACTCCTCTCACCGACTGCCAACGCAGATTCAACATGTCGAATCGGACGACGATCTCCTCGATGTGTCAGGGCCTTTAAGCCCTCTGTAGGTAAGTCTTGTATAACAAGACAGTCGTCCAAATCAATGTCGTAATCGAGCCTTTAAATGACTAAACAATGATGGAATCTTTAATCAGCAGCCTCTACCATCAGGGTGAATAATCAGAATACTAGAGAAGAATAAACAACCTCAAGTCCATTTACCAAAATAATCTAAATAAAGGCTCTTTAAGGCGATTCATGTCCGTATCTATACATTTCATATTTCTTATCTACTTCCTCTTCTATTCACCTGAACTGCCTCTGCTTTATCTGCTCTCATGCACTACATCACTTTATTCTATCCATTTTATATCAGTATTCATACAGTTCTGGTGAATTTATTCCTGTTTCTTATCCATCATTGCACTACGGTCACTTTATTTATCTAATTCTTACCTTACAGTTATATTGTATATATTAGTTCTGTTGTTCCATTATTCACCTTAATAACTTATCATTTAGTATTTGCCTGCTTGCACATAGTTCTGTATATATATTTACTTCTCGTTTACTGCATATAGCTCTGTGTATATATATATATATATATATATATATATATATATATATATTTAGTTCTTGTTTACTGCACATAGTTCTGGTTACATCTGTTAGTCCGATCACTGTCCACTTATATCTACTCTTTTATATTTTGTATTTTAAGTTTAAGCTTTAAGTTGTATTTAAATTGACACTTTATATTTGGGTTTAAAATGTTTTGTTTACTTGCACTGTTGTTAATTTACTGCTCTGTGTGCCTTTGAATTGCCCCCTGGGGACAAATAAAGTTTTTTGAATTTGAATTCATTCACTCCGTTTTCCTGTGATAAAAAGTAAAAAACATGTTTTTCTCGAGCTCTCAGATTGTTTATCTTGTCGTTGAAAGACATAAACCATAAAATAGATTTGACTTGACTTTTATGGTCTGCCATAAATTGATCCCGTTATAACCAGAAAACAAACTTTGTAATCTCGTTAAGTAAAGAGATAAATGAATCTGTTATGATGTTACGGAATCAGCGTTTTTTCATCCTGAGACAACAAGAAGAAAACTCGTTATCACACCAAAATATACTAAATGAAATGTATGAAAGCACGTCGGCTCAGGACCTCTGTCGTCTGCAGAGCGGGGCAAACCA